GCATTCCTGTGGTTAAGAATCCACACTTCCACTGCAGGGAGCACAGGTTTGATGCCTGGTTGGGGAACTAAGATCCCGCATGCCACGCTGTGCAGCCGAAAAAAACCCTTTGCGGAGATGAATAGACTGTCGGCAAATTCAGGAAGGGGGTATCTAACGACTGAAGGCTGTGTTGTGCTCTGTATCCAGTTTCTGTAAATCACCTACTGTTTACCAGTTTTTTATTTGGTCCACACTCATCTTGGAAAGGCTATCCAGGAAGACACAAAAATGTCGTAAATTGCACCTGATAACAAGAACCCTCCATCCAGTGGATGCATGGCAAGAAGGTAAAAATCCAATATTTAGATCCCAATGAAAGCACCCAAATAAAAAGAATACCTACATTCTGCAGATGAGTGAGAAAATTAACAAGATAAAGCAGATGGTTGCCGTAACTGCAATAAGGAACCATTTTGTCCAGGGCTTCTGCTCATCGTTTCCTAATGAAAAACAAAAACAAAAACAAAAAAAACAAAAGAAATCAGAACTAGAATCAGCAGCAGAAAAGAGAGATGACTACACAAGGGCCTAAGGGGGCTTGCGTCTGAGTTGAAGGTGCTGGGTGATGCTGGGAAAGTAGCTTAACCTCCCCGAGCTTTAGATTTGTCATCTGTAAAATGGGGCAGGGAGCATCCATCTCACAGAGTTGATACAAGAGTGAAATGAAATAACGGCAATGGCAATAAGGCCACTTTTAATCTTGAGGCATTATTTAATCAGCAGATATTTATGGAGTATATTCTAGGTAATATGCCAGCTGGATCTTGGAGCTTAGCAGCTTTTGGTGAGTACTAAGGTTTTTAGGTGAAAAAGGTACAAAAATGTAAGCCTACTCAGTAACCTAATTGCAATATAATCAAAACATTTTACAAAGTTGGACTTTTAGAGGAAGTACCTTGTGGGATAATACTCATAGTTCACAGCAAAGGTATCAGACTCGGTTGTCAGTTTACAATCTGAATTATCCTCACAACACCTCTTACCTGTTTTCACAGATGGAAATGTAGATGCTAACTTGATTCAGTACAGAAAGTATAAATATGCCACATGCTGCCCGACTATCTAGTTAAATTTGCTTCTAATCTATAATCAGGGATAGATTCTTCTGTGGGCTTTGATGATAGCTTTGGGGTGTGTGTGATTTTTTTTTTTTTTTTTAAGGTACTGGAAATACCTTCAAGAAAAACCCAAGGCCATTTACCAAATGGTGTTTAAAGGGTAACCTGCTTGCTAAACTGTCTGATTCATTTTTAGAGAAGAATGCAAATTTTGAGTTATCTCCCTGAATGCATGGGTCCTTTCTGTGTTCATTCCTTTATTCACCCATTTAGCCAATATTTATTCGGCTCCTATTATGTGTGGGACATTATACACATTGCTGGGAGACAGCGTTAAAAGGAAGCATGTGAACCCTCCCTTCCTGCAGTTGAGGGAAGAAGTCGATAAGCAAATAAAGACACAGGTAATTTAGTGACAGCAGCTCTAAGTACAGAGGTGAGATATACACCCCACCCCAGGAGAAGCAGGTCTTAATCCTTGGTTTACCATTAACGGTTTCTATTATAAAATGAGAAGTGAATGTAAGTGGAATTTTCAAGTCCCTTGTAAATAGCTTAAGACTTTCAAAAGCCCCGAAACACTTAAAACTCACATCTTTCCATGTATCAGGATGGAGAGATGTCTGGAGGATTTAATGCTAGTGATTCCAATGTTGCCCTGATCTCGTGCCCTTTTTTTTTTTCTGGCCTCCTGAGAACTCTTAGTTGAGGTTTATCTTCTACCTCCCCAAAGCTTTAATCTCTCCTCCTTCATCTCTTCCCGTCTGCTTTCAAATATTCATAGAGTCCTTTATCTTGAATAAGCCATTACTTTGCCGTCTCTCCCAACTATTATCCAATACCTCCTTTATTTCCCAGCCTCATTTCTTGAATAAGGGATTCAGACAGCTTCATTTTCCCATCTCAGAAAAGCACTTTAAAAATTTGCTGGTGGCTTCCTCCTGGTTGAAGCCAAAGGACAGTCAGTTTCTTTTGCCAACTTTATTTTTCCTGACCTCCCTCCTGAATTTCAGATTCGATGGTTGCACCCACCTGGAAACCAAGCCACTGGCTGCTTTACCCACATATTCCTCCTCTTCACTATCATTTCCTTCCCCCCTTGCTGATTTCAACTGCCCCTCACTGCTCAGCCTTAACCCTTTGGTATCTTCCACTATGGTCTATTCTTTGAACTTTGAAATGTTCGTTGAGCACAGCTTCATCTTTCAATTCCATGGCATCCTCTCCCGAGTCTTTATCCCTGCCCAGCCTCCCAGTGTGGACCTGAGCCTGCCTGTAGGCGGAACCCACTGGGATGTGTCTCAAAGGTGACAACGTTCAAAAGCAAACTCACACCCTTCTTGACATCAAAACAACTTCCCTCATAACTTCCCCGTTCTGATCTCCCCTCTTGCAAGATCCCAAATGGAATCCTTGGAAGGCACTTGGATGCTTCTCATTCTCTGTAGCCCCTCCCTGCTTTCCTCATCCACTTGGTTTACACCAGTACATCACACCCAACCATAAATGCAAGAGAACCAGCCATATGTGTAACACATATTCCCCTCCCTTTTGGATTTCCCTCCCATCCAGGTCACCACAGAGCACTGAGTAGAGTTCTCCGTGCTATACAGCAGGCCCTCGCTAGTTACCTGTTCCATACCCAGTGGCGTATATATGTCCATCCCAACCTCCCAATTCATCCCACCCCCCTGTCTCCCCACCACCGGTGTCCACATGTTTGTTCTCTACATCTGTGTCTCTATTTCTGCTTTGCAAATAGGTTCATCTGTACTATTGTAAATGCAAGACATGCATGCTTTTGTGTCATGAGTTTGCCTAGTCTGGAAACGTGGGTTCTATTCTTAGCTTGTTGTGAAGGTGGCCGTTCTGGGCCTCAGTTTCCTCATCTGCAAATATGAGGAAGTTGAACTCTGACCCTTAAGAACGCTCTCAATCCAGCACATTTTTTAGTACCCCTGACCCAATCCACGGCATTGTCATTTGGCGTATACTGACCTCTCACAAAATTGACTTTAGTATATTTTCATTGGTGAAAGTTGGAAAGTTGTAGAAAAGAACACAAAATAAAAGTTATCAGAAACCAGCAGTCACCAATAGCTTATCTTCTCTACATGTTGTGACGTTCCCTTTTTAGGTACCAGACACTCTGCAAAGTGCTCACCTTGCAGTCTCACTTGAATTCTCACAGCAGTGCTTCAGGGTGGGCGCTGCTGTCCTAGTTTGATGGATGGAGGAGCTGTCGCAGAGAAGGGCAGAGCGGGTCAGCTGAGGATCACAGCTAGTAGCTGGGGGTGAAGCCCAGGACGTGCTGAGCAGCCGTGCTCCTAACCACAGTGCAGGGACCCCATCCCATTGCCCACCACCCCCAAACCCAGGACCCACTGCACGTGCAGGCGCTTCATGGAACGCATCCTAGACATTTCTCTGTCACGGAACACCCTCCTGAGCGTCCTCTTCCGGCCGGATACCACTTCCCTCCAAGGCAGCCCTGTTTTGTTGTGGTGTCTCAGCTGTTGGGCGTGGCTGGGTTTGCGGGCTGTGTCTGCAGTAGAAGGGGGCTGCCTTGTAAGATACCAGTCTTCCCGATGCTCCCTGGGCTCTAGCCAGGACCGAATCACTTTATTTAAAATCTCTGACCATGGCGTTGAAAAAGAAGTTTCATGTATTTATAGCTGTTTTTACAAACAGGTGGTAGCCACACTTTGGCTCTCTGAGGCTCTGCTTTTCATCATTTTACAAACCTTTTATTTTCCCAAATCCCATAGACACTCACTGGTTCTAGGATTAGTATTCAGTTCTCTGGATTGTCACCGAGTGTCCCGTTAAACCTAGTTTTTACTGCACTTGCACGTAGCTAATATAAAGAGCAACTGGGACGAACTACTACCGTGAAATCAAATACCGGCTCGCTTTATTTCCCACTCTGATTTCCTGAATAAGGGATTCTGCCTGCCTCATTGCCCCATCTCTGAAACTCACTGTAGCACCCTCGGAACCATTATGCAAGTCCCCTAACAAGTACATTCAGAAACTCTAGACTCATATACGTGGAATATAAATTTAGCAAGGGTTATGCCAGTAGCAAAATTATTCCTGTTTACAAGTAGGTTAAACAGGTGAAGCTTGAGTCCTGCAGGAAGAATGAGTGACGTTATCAGTATTACCAGGGTGGCACCCTGGGTCCCGTTGGTGTCTCAAATTGTGCAATTCTCTGCAGGCTGGTATGTCAGGTCCTGATAAAAGTGTCGTTCACTTCTGAGCATGCTTACACAAATCTTTTCAGTTAAACCACTCTCTAGCTGTTCACTTGAGCGCTTACATTGATAAGTGAAGATTCTTTCTGAATTAACAAAACCTCTTTGGAGAGGCAACTGATTTTATTTCTTTCGATCAAAATAAAGTTAGTGGTGCATGCAAGGTACTATGTGGAAAGCAAAGTCACCGTCACTGCCTGGAGGGAGGGGGCACGGCACATGAGTCATTTCTCCCCGCCTGGTTTCTGCAGTGTCCCACCTTGCTTCAGAACTACTCCCCTACCACCACCTGAGAACAGAGCTAACCCCCCAGACAGCAGAGCCGAGGTCAGCTTTACTGCAAAGAAAACCTAAACTGGCAGGTAAATTCAGTGCAAGAAAAAGGTTTCACATGTTCACTGCCAAATGGAAATCGCTTGGGGATTATCTACCGTTACGTTATTTATTAATGCAAAAACGAAGTTGAGAGTCAGTTATGTAAGTAAAATGAATTAAAGACAGCACCTCCTCTGATTTCACTGAAGGTAGAACAGGGGTACAGTTGCCTGTTGGGAGGCCCCTCGGTACATCATTAATTTGAATTTTGGGGTCTCTGATGTTGGACATTTTCTTAAGAACAAGCGTTTCAAGGTAACTTGAATCTTTTCTCTGACTCAAGAATGAGTTTTCTGCCGTTAAAACGGAAGCCACGGATGTTTCTTTTCAAGAGATTGATGGGTGCCGCTGTTTGGTTATGCAGAGATGAGCTTTAGAAAGACGAAGTTGCAAAGCCTGTCCTGCCAAGGAGAAGCCGCCCTTCAGACTCTGCACCTCATTCTAGGATGTTCTCCCAATATTGACAACTTGGAGCATTTGGGAGCTTAGCTGTCTGGTTTCTCGGTGACCTTGGCTTCCTCAGTTTCTGACGTCTCGACCATTTAACCTTGAGAATTAGCCAACTAATGAAAATTCTGCTTGTGCTGTATGTCCTGGGAGTGTATGGTGGGAAAGGGACGGGGAGGGGCGAATAGCATGGTGGTTAAAGGGAATCAGACCCCGGACCTCGTCCCAGCTCTGCCTCTGGCTGCCCTCAGAGCTTTGTCAAGTCATTTTCCTCCCGGTGCTGCAGCCCCACTTGTCCTAGAA